CCTCCGGCGATTTCCGGGGACTACGGCGGATGTTTTCAAAATAGCAGAGCCATAATAAACAATCCATCCCATTCCTCCACCACTAATCAGGTGTCCATTTTGGTAACAATATGATAATGCACAAAGTTTAAGTCGTACACGTAGGTAATATTAAAGATTATTCACGTGGTATGAGATTGTGCAATATTGTGACGTTGCGCCGGCGCAGCGTTCATCTTAACAACACACTGAATATTTTTTTTAATCCAAACGGCTATGATCCCGCAGTATAATTGATTAAACACAAATCATCCGCTAGATAGGTAGTTAATATTAACATTTCTAAATTTGGCTCAATTTCACTCTGAAATTAAACAGAACAGATTTAGATAAATCATTCTTTTTTTTTTTTTTGTTATTCGTTTGTACCGACTGACTGAGACGACACGTGTGGGTGTACTAAGGTCTACTATACTTTGGACCTATCTACTTCATGTAATCTTGTTTCCACTTCAGACATAGAAGTTGGTTTTTCTGCGTTAGTTGAAGTCTTCCTCGAGAAGTCAACGCTCATATTGAACGAGTTGCACAGATTTAAAAACATTAATTTTAATATTATAAACAGTTATCTTTAATGAGTAATGACTTTTTTTTTTGTTTCTCTACTCTAGCCAGCTACTTTTTTTTAAGTCCCAAAAATTGGCTCTCTGAGTAGCCCATCCCTGATATACAATAAAATCAAATCATAAAACAAAATTAGTAAACACTAACTATTAACTATAATGATATTAATACAATTATGTAAAATATGTATTATGTTATCCGTAGCATTTTATACAGTTTTAAGTTTTAAATTATCAAAAGTGAATGTGGAGTTTTTTTATGAATAAACAAAACAAAATGCTGATTATACATTTTGAAAGGTGTATAATCTAAGTTCGTATTATTTAATAAAGGGTAGTTAAAAATGAAATTAATTAAAGTAAAATTTTATTTTATTTTTATTTATACGAATTTACGCCATTCGGCGTTTGTACAATATAATATATAGGTATTATATGAAATATAATAACAGATTAATTAAATAGTATAATAACATTATTAATTACAAACAAAAATTGATGTGGTTTTGTTATTTATTAGTAAGCTTAATAAATTTGTGTATCGAAATAACAGATTCTAGAACGGTTTAATCAACCGAAAAATATGGTCAGCTCAATTTTTTAGCCAAGCTGAAAATACATACATCATATTATCTGACTTACTCAGCCTTGTACAACCTCATAATCTGTACCTATATACAATTATAGGTATGCCACATTATATCATATTATGCTTAATATTTGCAATCATTACGTGGAAGTAAATCATTTTCATTCCGTTGAAAACTGAAATTGATCTCCTTGTGAGTGATTATTTTTCTCGGAACAAAAAATACTTTTGAGAACTGCTCTATACTACCTACTGTGCGTTTGGTTACTTAACGCGCGTTTCTGCAGGAACGCCTTAGCCAGTATTAAAAAAAAAAAAAAGAGTCTATTTCTACAGCTCGATTTGTAAAGGATTCGAATCAGTGTGATATTATTATATAAAAAACATAATATACATCTCTGCATGCGTTACACCGCTGCACCCATATTATTAGTATTCGTCTATAAATCGCACACGTAAGTACACCGCATTCAGCGGTGAAAACATGATATTTTTTCCGAACCCAAGGGCTATAATATCGATCCCCGCGAACACATAATATTATGTACGCCACCGCATTTGAACATACATAATAGTCCTTGATTTCGAAATCCGATTTGGAAACCCTACACTGTTTCCCATTGACTCGACGTGATGTTTTCGACTGTTGTATGGGTAATGTTATGAACTCGAACAAAGATGAAACGCTTCGCGAATGCCGAAATAATAACCCCGGTACTTTTCGTATAATATTTTTCAATTTCTACCTCGTACCGCGTCCGAGTGGAGTTTTTTTTATTTCGAAATCGTCAAGACCGCAGACTGTCGGAACCGAAGCTGCATAGTAAAAATTCATCACATTAAAGATTTGGTGCCCAATCACTACATTATGGTTTGCGGAAATCAAATATTCACCCGTCGTGTATTGTAGAATATGACGTGTTATTTTACTGTCGAAGAGATCTTTTTTACATGTAGGTCATTAGGGTACGGATTTATAACGATATGTATTTTGAAAACCCGGAAATTGTAAATACTAAATATACGGACAACCCCGACCGCGGTCGATAAGAATAATATTCACAACAGACCCGAGAATTATCAAGGTAGAACGATTAATCGTCGTCCGAGTGTAAAAATATAAAATAAGAGTGTAAAATGTACAGTTTTTGTGAGTTGCTTGGGGGCAACCCGTTTATATTATGAACCACATCTGATCATCAGTGGCAACCGAGGTACCTATATTAATCTTTTTTTATACGATAAGAGTGGGCTGTGGCAATCCATATATTTTAAAAGGCAACTTATGTGCACCGGATTTATCATGTCCTATAGACCTTTAAAACTAGACAAGCAATGAGTGAATGGAAATAAGCGTAACAATAAAGAGGGCGCTTTTTGATTACTCGATTACCCGTACGCACAGTAGTGCGGGGTAGCAGGGTGAGATATATATATTATTGTATTTGACAGCCTACATCACTTGCTCATTTTGGTGCTCATTCGAGCCAATAAAAACGAATTCGTTTTGGGTACAGTCCATTTGCACCAAAATAAAAATGGTATGTTTTTTTCAGACAGCCTATTTGCTCCAAATTTACCTGCCTTAACGTTTTAAAATAATGATTTGGTTAATTCTTGTATTTTAAAGACTTCATGTCTGTAACTATAATAGTTAGTAATAAGTAATTTATTACCTATAGTTTTTTGAAAACAATTCGTATTAATTCTGATTATTGTTTCAAAAAAAAAACATGCATTATACAGTTATTATTGATTATTATTTTTAAAACATTCGCATAGTTAATATTATGATTTAAATAAAATTGTATAAAATAAAAAATGTATATCTGTATTTTAATTATACCAGGTTAATTTGGCGCAAACGGGATATACCCAAAACGAATTCATTTTTTTTTTTTTTGGCTCAAACGGGTAACACCCTCACTAGGCGATGTTGTCGCGTAGCCCACACGCTAGTGCCATGCACACAGTTCTTGTCTACTAGTATAAGGTTTATGATCACACGACGGTTTGAGAAAATCAACATATCGGTATAAATATATTGGTATATAGGTGTATATATATTACCTGAATCTCGGGTAAAAAAACCCCTCTTGCCATCCTCCTCGGTAATCGAGAATATAGATATGATGCGTAGCAAGGAATGATTAATATTGACGTACAATCGGCAGCCTCTAGCTTATTGTCGGGATCCGTCGACCGCCCGACATATGTCATGACTAGGGCAGAAGACACTTGTAGGATTTGCATATTTATTTCACACAACTGTGATGAAAATAGCATTGCAAGAAACAGACGAGTTTTGTTCTAAGACAAAGCTAATTCAATAATGTGATTGTGTATCTAAATGCATGTTTTTAGGTTTTTTTTGAAGTTGGCTTATAGTCAAGTAATAGTACAGCCAAATCATATACGTACAAAAATAGTAATTTCTTAATACGTATACTAACAATTTAAAAAAATGTTTTCGTATTATTTTTGTTAGAACTAAATTGATTTTTCGTTTTTACTATAATATTATGTACGGGTTTCCTAGAAGCACTCGAGGTTGGTCTGCTAGATTCGTTTTCCATTTATTAATTTTATTCATAAATAGATAATTGTCATGGCATAAAAAATGACCGAATGTGACCACACAGGTTACAGCCGAACACAGATACCCGATATAAATAATATTCGCATTTCAAATTCGGTGCGTTTCTAAACGGTCGACCACACGTTCTGTTTGCGATTCGTCTAATTTTTGTAGTTCAACAAGTAAAAATTTCATTAAGACTAAAACTTTTTTTCATTCATTTAGCCACGGTATGACATATTATATAATTATTGAATTATGAAGGTACTTAATTGTAAGGTATTCTTATTTTAGATATTTTTTAAACGATGGAAATTTTTGAATTTACCGCTAAAAAAAATGTAAGTGCATAAGTACTAAGCATATTTAATGATATCTCAGAGCTACAAGTCTTCTGCCCTATCCATAAGGTATGAAAATGATGGCTTACACGTAGTTGGAGGTCTATAATGGGAAACGCACTAAATCCTATTTAAACAGTTTAATTGCAACTTTCGAGTTAACGTTATAATGTTTTTTTTTATGGATTTCATTAGCTGGTGGTTCGGGAGTGTGTACAACCGCAGGCGAAATAAAAAACGACATAAAAAATAGTGGCCTTAACACAAAACTGGTGCGGTGCAGGTCTAACGGTCGTATTTTACGAATCCACCGCAGAATTCCCATCCTATTCGACAATTGCAGTCGTAAAACAACTAGTGCTTAAAAAATACACACATGGGTAAGTACTTGCCAAGTGTTTTGTTTTTTACTTAGTGATGAGATACTTGACGTGTACTTTAATAAGTCTCACTCGCTGCAGACGGAAAAGGAGAAACGGATGGAAACAGCATATCAAAATATATGTACTACGCAGTGTTTTGGTTTAAATTTTTTAATTTATTGAACAAAAAAAATCATTATCATTCAAACGTCTAATCATAGTTTATAATATCGTTATGAATCGTAATTACAGGTAGTAAAACTAATGATCCAGATCTATCATGTGCATATAACTAATACTATAATATTTTAATAGTCGGACTCGACATCGAGTGCCGAATTGTACAAACGAGTGTAATATTTATGTTTTTAGGTACAGTATTAATGGTATTAATCAATTATGAGTTATAAATTACGATTAAGGTATATAGAGTACTCATGTTATATCGTAATAAAGGCGTTTTTTTTTTATGTTTAAAAATACTAATAAAAAATATTCTGTGGTGGTATTCTCCGTGGTGTGGTGAAATGTTCAACGAGAAAATAAAGATCACTCCTTCTTGCAGTGGTAACACGAACAGCTCAATGCCGATTTGAACACCAGTTTTCTCACGCCCTCCAGACAACGGACGTTGACTTCGACCTGAAATCAAAACAATCGGTTGCAATAGTTAATACTTCATCGGTTGGGCAGTGTTCGCATTAATACGATAAAATACGATGTTCATATGGCCGGAGGGGTTTGGATTTGGAATGATATTGTAGTTGTGTAGTGATCGTTTCAATGACGAGGTAATTATAATAAATGTTATAACCCACTTAGGCAGGTATCATAGTCATATGGGTACGTGACTAAAACTATTAATTTTCCCAAACACACAGTTAACGTTATCAACAATTATTATTAAATTTGTAATTATTTCGATAAGATATTATTAATAATGTACCGGTATTGAACTCATATAATATATGAATATGAATACACTAAACTGGATTATACGTGTATAATATTAATGCTTGGCAAACTATTATGCCAACGCTCCTGTCGGCATTAGTCCAAAGACAAACTTTAGTGATTGAAATTCAATTTGCTCCACTTAGCTCTGCAAACTTTGCTGAAAACGTTTTATAATCCCCTTTAATGTAATATTATGTCGATTAATTATAATATCTAGGTGGTACCGCCCAGGTAACCGTGTACCTAAATTTCCATTAGTATTTTTTGTCTTCAAAACAAGTAATTATTTAATTCGTGTGCATAGGCGCAGGTTACCATACAGTGTCATAATTTTCGAGTTGTGGTATTACGATATTATATGACGTGCATCGGGCGCAGTTGCACATCTGACGATAGACCTGCGACAGGGAGAAAGGATGCGGTTGTGAAATGTTTTTGAATCACTCTTCGTGCACCCCCCTAAACCATACCTATCGGCTGTAACCGCTAATTCCAGGTGGATAGAGCACAGCAATTACAACGGTTAGCCACATCAACTATAATACAGAATCTTATCGTTTATTATACATCAATGAAATTTCGGTGCACCGAGTCATCATGTTTGCTCGACGTGTATACAACACACATATTTTTTAATACAATAAACTCGCAATGTACCATATTATGTTTTTTCGACTGTAAAAATGTTGTCGTCTCCCCAGCACCAAATCCCCACCGTCACCGCATCGTTTACCACTATTGTACGGTCATAGTTATAAGTGTTAAAATTGTCTGTAAAAAGAGCTTTATAGTGAACGATACGTGATGTGGAATCAATTTTGGCGTACCATCCGACTCTAAACCTCGAACATCTATAAATCTTGTAAAATGTAATATTGATCTGATTAAACATACACAATTTAAAATGCCGATCACTGTTATAATATATTATTGACAATTTAAAATACATCAAATCCGTATGGTAAGAAATAGAAATATATTTATATTTTACTTTTTAAAACGATATAATCAGTATACAAAAATAGCGTTCTCTTCAAAAACTCGAAAACGCAGTTGTCAAGAGCTCTATAATTTATGTGACTAGTTATATTGTTACACATTTCTGATTCCTGCGCGTGCATCCGCAGTACAACTATTGGTCCATTATAGAATTATTATGAGCTGGTAGATTTCCCCAAACAACAACATAATTATAATTCATGATACAATATGTAGGTATACCTAATATCATAAACACGACGATCGAACGACAAAAATCAATTTACTTGATTGACGCGCTAAAATCGGACGTGGCTTCAGACCGTGAGTAGTTAAGCGCATTATGTGTGTGTACAAAAGGTGTTAATTCGCCGCCACTGATCGACGATATAGGTAATAATATTATTATTATATTATATGGGCACGTAAGATATACTATTATGCCCGTGGCAGAGCCCTAATTGAATATTAACCGGGTACACTGGTGTAAATGGTAATTGAACACCTCGAACGTTCAGTGCAAACCCGATTGATATATTACACAATGCCTACCTTAAACTATATTATTATCAGTCAGTGTTCTTACCACCGTCTACTACAGCAGCGATGCTGAATTATGATGTAGTGAAAGCCTAAAGCACAAGGTATATGCATAAAACGACGTTTATGACGTATCTATTAATGATAAGATACTTGCCGAATTTATAACTTTTTTAACTGCGAGCACCAACGTTTTCCAGAAATTATTATATTTTCCGAACAATACGTCATTCGAAGATAATTTAGTGAAACCTATTCTATATGGTACCTCCAAATAACCGACACCTCCGAACAACGAACGAGAGTGTCTGGCATTTAACGAGTTTCACGGTAATAGAATTTTATTGGGTGATTATTGTTAAAGTTGGAAACGTCTTGTATTGATCCCAGACAATAATTAATAAGCAAACCGTGACTATAGCATCTGATGATTTAAATATGAAATTGTCATGGGCTCTTTGAATACATTCAAAGGATGATAAAAGTTAACGATAGTTCGTACAGACCTGCAGTAGTCCATTAACAGTAGACATACTTATCCCGTAGTGCCCCTCTCGATTGAAACGAATACACTTTTGACTAAAATACGATGTGCTTTAATATAAGCAAAGGGAACAATGATTTGTATAGCTCTTACATTAAAAGTCGCCCAACTGAACATAAACTCGACGACACCGAAAACTGTGAATAAATATTTATCATTTTATAAGAAAAGTCAACTGTTAACAAAAGTAATTAACTATGTGCAGTAACTGTTATAAAAGTTGTATTGCGATACAAATCATAAACTTGACAAATATCAACCATATTCTATATAGGTAAGCAGAAGTAACAATATTTTGAACTCTTTTAAAATGTAATTCTTGCGATAATGATTTCAAAAAGTTTTTTTACAACATGTCCATTGTAACGTCTTGCAAGACTGCGAACGCCATCCAATTGTATTTAACAAATAATATATCGATCGAAAATAATAATGATAAAAGAATTATAGTGTAGCAGCATACCGAAGATGCAGAACAAACATCTCACAAACACTGAAACGTATACGTTTGAGAACAGACGTTTTTATTTGTAGGAAGAAATGAACTTTGTATAGAACTGATCCTGCAGCAGTGCAGGAATAATAATTATAATATTGAAGTACTAATAGTTAAAAACTTAGAAAAGTCAGAGGCCCGGTGGGTGATCATCTCCGTCTTCATCAAAATATGTTATAAATTGATTTGATGAAACGCTCGTCCATCGTATTTCGGGTTTTATTCACTACCATCAAAATATACAAGGTGTAACAGATAGATCAGACAAGAAAAATAAAAATGATCCTACCTTAACACAGGACAAAATTTTTAACATTAAATGAGTAGTAAATGATTTAAGAAATATACTCATGTCAGCAAATTTCCTAAAATTATATTTTGAAAAAATTTATTACGTTCCAAATGAATTGAATCAAAAAAATATTGATATTTAAAATAAATTCTAAAAAATAAACTACTCGACTTAGATAAATGTTTTTACCATAAAAAAATGTTCTTATAACCAGATTCACAAATTGGCTATTTTGAACTTACCTAAAAAAAATTTAATTAAATTGTAATTGTTTAATATTCAGTATTCAAAAATAAAACTAAATTTTTTTTATATTATACATGTAGCGCAAGTGACTATAAATCATATGTATAAAAAAAAATTGAAAAGATTAATTAAAAAAAAACTTATTGCATTAGTCAGTTATTTCTGTTACATTCTGTATATATTATATTATCCCACTCGGATGTTGTAGCGTGTGATCTGACAAGTGCCTAATATTTGATCTACCAGACTTTCTCGACCGCTGGTGCAACGACATTCGCACATCGATACAACGAAACGTTTAAATGTTTTTCTAAATATCTTTGTGGTAAGTCTGCAGAAAGCGACTTATAAGAAAACCATAATATTCATTGGTTTTTGTCTGTCACTGATTTTCATCCGCAAAACGTTCGACGCGTACAAACGTCGTTTTACCGTAGTAAAACACAATAACGCAAACAAATATTTGCCGGGTGAACAATGCCCAGTCCTTTACACGCACTTTATACGTTACGAGTCCGTGGCACTTAAAGTATCAATTACGGAATAAAATGTAATAAAGGGAAGCATGCGAAATTCGTATTAAATGTTTTGGACGGTAAATGTGTTTGGGTTAAATATATCTTTTTTCAACCATACCGTCTCTTAGCTGTGTTCCCATTGCGAGTCCAACAGTGCGCAGTGACCAGTTTGTGCATACCTACTGTATATTACATAGGTAGTAAGTAGGTAGTATACGTGTCTGTAACGCACTGTTAGTTTTTTTCGTGCTTATATTGGAACATTTTTTATTACAATATCCATAATTATTCTTCGTCGTTTCATTTAACAACATTTAAATTATTATCTATCTAGATACCTCATTTTTTCTAATGAAATATTCAGATATCGCAATTATACCATGTGATGTAGTTTGACAATCATTCTGATTACAAACAACACATTTTTCCGTAACATCCAAATCGTGTGTTTTCCAAATACTTCAACGTGTATGCCACTATTTTTAAGGTATCTTTGGAAAGTTGTATATTATATGCTAAAAATTAATTACCTAAAATAATAATATCTGAAGTTTAACATCCCTTTAATATTAGATACCCGTACAGTGTGCCTGTCAAACACGTGTATTATAACATTATATGCATTTATGCGTTAAGCGCATCTGCGAAAACATCGATCATTTCGTTCCAAATAGAACAGTTTACGGTATTTCAAAGTTTGAATTATATAATTTGTTTTTTTATTCGGTGGTACCAAAATAAATTATGCTCAATGAAAAAAATTGATATTTTTCTGCTCTTTACGTGCCTCTTCTTTAGAAATAATATCATTTACGTATGAAATTCAAATTGAATATTTGTTAAATGATTCGCAGTCCATAATACTTACATTATAAATCAACTTTGTAATACGAGTAGGTGCCTACAAGTAAATTTACTAGCTGATTATCAGATACAGTTAACAACTGAAAAAATAGTTAAGTGATGACAAAGCATAAATTAAAAAAAAATTTCGAAACCTTAGAAATGTTTTCGTTTTACATGAAGATAAACGTTTTGATAATAATTCGATTGACGTACTCGACAAATATT